ATAATACTTCGGGATAGACTATATTTGAGGTGAAGTCGTCACAAAGGAGAACTTTTATAAAACGTGAAGAAGTACATTGAGAAAGAGCTATGTAGAGTTGCCCATAAGAAAAAACAAGTGTTCTAAGATCTAACCCAACATGTTTTACAGATTAGCCCTGCAACTTGTTTATAGTCATGGCGAAAGCTAGACGGATGGAAAACTGGCGATTTCTAAAAGCAAATGGAAGTTCTGAAGTAGAAGGAGTAAGAGATATTCGGGGAATAAAAACTAATTTGCCGACATGGTTACCGCATAAAATGCAACCTCAACTATATGATCTGTAAGTCTTGTTACAACTAAGCGAGAACCATTGCAAAGACCCTGATAAGATGAAAGGTTGCGAAAAAGTATAATAGGACATCCAATCTTGAGATCAAGTTTTGACGGTGGCATACCAGCAGGATTAAGAGAATTTAGGTATTCAACGGGATAGATATTTCCAATATTATCAGCACCTTCCTCTATAACAACATTATTCAAACTTAAATATGTCTGTTTATTTTCAGGAAAGATGTTAAGAATGGTACGGTTAATAGTATCAACATCATCATTGCGTGAGGAGAGTATTATCCAGTCCTTAAGATATTGATTAGTGCATATACCTTCGACACCGATGTTATAATAAACTGCGTCGATAAGAGATTTTAAATCAGGACTAACTCTTATGTTTTCTGGAATGGCAACTTTAGATTTATTAACGTCATTTCCAATCTATAACATGAAGTAAAAGAATATTCAGATATAATACCAAATATAATGGTAGAGAGATGTCTACAATTCTTACATCTAAAAGCCATTGTACATATCATTTATTTTCTTCTGATTCACTCTCAAGACGCATATTTTTCTTTAATGTATGTACTTTAACATGTCACCATAACTGCGATCTTTGAAGTGAAGCATTTATAACTTGTTCCCAAGAGCCCTTAACAACAACAGGCAAAGTTTGACAGAAATCACTGCTGAATACAACTGTAATTCCTCTAAATGAACGTTGATCATCACAAATATCTCGTAAGGTGCGATCAGCTGCCTCAACAAAGTGATGATGTTGTATTAATACTTCATCCCAAATAATAAGGGATGTGCAACATATTAAATTAGCATGAGCAGAGTTTTTTTCAATTGAACAAAATGAACTATCATTGACGTTAATGGGAATTTTAAATGTTGAATAAACCATTCGACCACCGCTGAGCAAAAGAGCGGTGATGTCTGAGGAAGCCACACAAATCGCAACCATACCTTCACTGCGAACCTTCATGGCAAGGATATTATATACAAAAGTCTTTCCAGTTCCAACAGGACCGTTAAGAAAAAATAATTTACCATGTTGTTTAGTTACAGAATTGAAAATGTCTTAATATGCTGCACGCTGATTATTATTTCTCTGAGAAATAAGATTGTCAACCATATTTCGAAGCTCATTTTGATCCCAATTTAAATGTTCAAAAATGAAACGGTTTCTCTGATAATTATTCCAGTTATGTTTTCAAAGAGGCATCGAGGAGAACATGCCAAGATATTAGTTAAAATCATGCAGGATGTTGTCAAGGAGAGAAAGTCTAAAATCAAATATCTGACTCTCAGTAGGTTCACGAATAGCATGTTCATTACTTAGACGATAAAGGAGATCATTACAGAGATTAACACGAAAGCATAACCCTAAATCTTGAGGTTGAGTTGGAGTGCAATGTATAAGTATAACAGCAAAAAGTAACCTCAGTTGAAAGCCACTATATATGACTGCAGCTTCTTCTAGACACTGGATCCATTCTTCATCATCCTCTAATAAACCCAGGGCTAGACATGCATCTTTAAATGTTGGGTGGGTAATATTATTGACCGTTTTTAAGTGATTAAACGATTGTGGGCCACGAATAACAATGAGAAGGAGCCGAAGGTAAAAGATTTCTCCTGCAGACAGATTAGCAAAATATAGTCTACCGATAGCAAATCCTCACTTTCGTATTGTTCATCTTTTGTCCTTTTTGTTTCAAACAAAATGTTGAGGGAATTCCTGGTATGTATACTGGCGGGCTACATCAATAGTTGTGCATGTCCCAAAGAAAGCTATAAGAGTAGTTTTTTGTCAGTTAGCACAAAAAAGAACATGTGTGGCATCATCATTAGGATCAAAAATGACACTATGCATTCCTGGAAGATGTAATGCCAATCATACTATATTTGGTACCTCTTCGTGCATTTTCATGCTAAAAAGATGCTACGCAGCTTCGGATGCACTAACGTATCTTTCATCGATGTACTGTTTGATCTTATCAGGTTCTTGTTCAAATTTCATTGTAGTCTGGTCATGACCTTTGTAGATATACTTGTGAATATATTTGACGACACGTACAGATGCACAGACCTCAATATTAATATGACAATTGTATTTACAGCTGAGAGTCGGGTTGTAAGGTACTATATTCCGATTATTAACAGTTTTATTGCCAATATTAAATATCCATCCATCCTCTTTTTTAGCATAGCAGGGGTATCTATCTTCATCCATGGATGTTACGTTATGAAAGTTTTTTGGATAATTTTTTTTACATTTGCCATGTTCCATACATGGAGCTTGTGAGTTACAAACACCGCAAGGCCCGTGGACCATATAACGTAATATGATATCAAATAGCATTGGATCTGTCTCCTTGTCAGGGAACTCTGCACACACAATACGATCAACATCTGCAGGTTCCTTGATTTTGCAGTCGTTGCATAGAAAGATCAAAAAGTGTATATGAGGAAGGTCACATTTTTGAAATTCGATTGTATAGACATGAGCGATTGCTTTACCAAAAATGTTATTTTCCTTGATATCGTGAAGAAGAGAACAATGTTTTAACTCAAATACATGTGCTACCAAGTCTGGTCGATCCACCAAAGTCTGACCAGGTAGCAACTCATTGATAATTTCTGGCCAATTCAGGTTTGCAGTCATGGTTCCAAAGATATCAGAATGTTGATAAAATCGAGTAATAGCCATGAAATCCTGAAAGATCTCAAACATGTGATGTGCACTGCCAATATGTATGGAGGGAAGAATTACTCGACGTTCAAGATTATTAGACATTAGCTCCCTATTTGTAATATTTTCTGCAACATCAGCAAGCCCTTAATAAATGTCAGCATACAGTGTATCTTGATTCATACACAAGTACCTTAACCGATTTTGCTCTGTTGCTGCCCATGCATCAACCATAAACTCATGGAGTAACTTTCCACCTGAAGGATCGTTGAGAATTCAGTATTGCGTGAGAGGATATGAAAAGAATAGAAGTTCATTTGTGTAAGATGAGAATGCTTGTTCTGATTATCAAGTTGCTGTTCCTCAGTATCTGTCAACACATGACACAATCCTTTATGCCATCCAAGCTCACCATGTGAGAAAAGAAGCACATAATGCAGTGGCAAATATGCTGGATACCCTTTATGAATATGTTCAAATGAACCTCCACGCAATCGAATGATAATATCACGCATTGCCTCTGATACTGATCCATTGCCTAGTAGAATAACAGCTATCTCGTTTATCATAGGGAGATTATAGTGATGCTTATCTGTCGTGTTTGTGTGGTGGAGATAGATTGCTACATCTTCATCAATACCGTCTTCATAGGCTTGGAGGAGAATTTCATGTGCCTGTTGATAAAATGGATAGAATGCATGGCTTTTTCACAAAGTTTCCTGTATTTCCCACATTATTTGTGCCGATAAACCTTTATTATGTCCCATTCTTATTTGAAGGGAAACATCGGAGTCATATATATAAAGTTGAGCATAAGTAGCTTCTTAATCCGCATTGGATAATAGAGCTCCTGAAAGGTAGCGCAGCTCTCCGTAAATGCGAAAGCTATATGTATTATGTCCTTGCAGAATGCTTACATCAATTTTTGCACCTAATGATGTAAATGCATGTGCTACATTATATTGGCAAATGTTCTTGCGAAATTCTGGACAAGTGTCAACTTCACCATCAAAGAGCATTCGTAAAAAAGGTGGAGGATCATGAAGGAGGGGAAGGACAACTTTTCCATTTAGACAACATGATCCAAATTTTAGATTTTTTCTTAAAGAATTTGTTAAGCATTCATCTAACCAATGGAGTGTGCTGCAATGACTACACTCTATATCCATGTGACCGAGGTCATGTTGCATATTATCTTGGTTTTGGCAAGACATAGTCAGGTTGATATCTAGTTCAATGGTCGATAATCATTCGCGTCTCCTTCGCTGTTGCTGTGTAGTGGCTCTTTTATTCATTTTTTTCTTTTCATCTTGCTCATATTTTCTCCTTTTCTGTTGTGCGATAGCTCTGTTATTTATTCACATTCTTTGCTTTGCGTATATAAATATATCAATTTAATTGGAAGGAATTTATTTCAAAGCAAGAAAAAAAAAAGATTACATGCTAATAACGCGTCGATATAACAAATGTAAGTTTATAATTTATAGTTCGTTATAATACTACCAGCAATTGAATATTATCACCTCTCATTCTAACACACAATATTAGGATCTTATAAGACGGAAGACTTTATTTGTGAAATCTTATATCATTATATATGAAAATCTCAGAACATTTGGGTTTATATGGACTTTTAGGGAGCATAAAGCATAGGTTCTAGCAGTTCCAAAATGAAGCCAAGTTATACAACTCTGTTTTAATATCAGCATCCTAGACCTTTAGATCACAATCTCGTAAACTCAATAACAATACTCTTTAAGGCAAATTCATTATATCAGGTACATATATAAATACTTTAATTAGAACAAATTTCTTTAAAGCGGGAAAAGAAAAAATACTATGTGTTAATAACACATCAATAATTAACAAATATTAACCAATTATATAATTTAAATTAAGTTTTAGTTCACAGATTGCACATACTGTATATGAAATACGGTGTTACTACTGGTGATTAAATATTATCTCAACAACCTTTTATTCTAACATTAATATAGAATATGATATTCAGGATCTTTATAAGACAAAAGGTTTTATTTGTGAAATCTCATATCGCAAATATCGAAAATATGTGTTATATGAGAAGTCTTATAGAATGTTTGGGTTCACATAAGGGTATAATGCGTGGGTTTCAGCAGACCCAAAATGAAACAAAATTGTGCAACTTTAAATTGCAATATCTGAACTTCACTAATTATATTCTTCAGGAGCATTTAAAACGAATTCTTACCATGTCAAACAAAGAAACATATAAATATAAGCGATTTTTTTCTCAATATACGAAATTCCCGGTGGTCATCTCTACTATCTCGACAAGATCCGAATCACTTACCCTACATAAGAGAATCATGGCAGATACAAAAGACATAAAACGAATGTCTGTCATTAAGGAGAGGTCAGGCCTAGAAGAATTTGATTCTCCCTTCGACTCTGTAAACAATGATAGGTTGATAACACACAGATCCCAGCTTTTAAACATAAATAAAATAACGTTTTTTACTGATGGATCTATCCGAGACAACAAAGGCACAGTGGGATGGGTAGTCAAAGAGCAATCTTATTTATGGTTTAACACCGCACTTATACATCAATTTGACATCACTAAGGTAGAATTAATTTCTATCCTATCTGCTATTTATGTCACACCACTGGGTAGAAACATAATAATTTCTACGGATAGCCAAAATGCTATAGATCTTATTTATAAAACTCTTAAGTGCACATATAACTCCCATAGACACAAATTGTCTAGAATCCTAAACCTAATCAGAAGGTCTCTTTGGTCGAATAACATTATTCTTACTATGGCAAAAGTGAAGAGGCATTCCAATAATTTCTGGAACGATAAGGCGGATACATTGGCAAAAGAAGGATATAATAGTGACTTACTTATTATCAAATGAGTGATAAGTAAAAATTTTTTATTTTTATTTGAAACTATATATTACTAAAACTCACTTATATTTATCACTCCAGAGATCATGAATAATTATCCCATACTGTTATTAGAGAGTTTAGCATTTTATCCAATCAATTATAGAGGTCTCCAAAAATACCTTCACCCCACTTGTGAGTGGTGCTTTCACTTAACTCATATCAAATAACTATGAAAAAAATTTTTTATAAAAAAAAAAAAGGCACGTGTATAATACAATTTACTTTGTTTTATAATAAACCTGACCAGATTTTGAATTTTGCTGAATTGATTAGGTGACCTCCAAAAATACGTGTCATGTCCTTTTACCCCACTTGCAGTGGTGTTATTACCCAACCCATATTGATAACTACAAAAAAAAATGTTTAATAGATAATAAAAAAAAAAATTTAAAAGTGACATGTATACAACTTACTTTGTTTTATAATAAATCCGGCCGGCAGCTTTTGTATTTTGTAGAATCAACGATTAGGGCGTTCTCCGAAAATACAGGTCATACGTTCTTTTCGTACCACTTGCAGGTAGTACTATCATCAATAATTATGAAAGCATCTTTGTTTTTTGGTTGTATCTTTGTATCTCGCTATACGTACGGGATTCGAATCACATTATTAATGCTGTGGCTTATATCACGTGTACATTATTCAAACTTGCAACCAATCAGAGAGCTTCTTTATCTCATACTGTTTATCCATCTGTTCTGTTTTGTATAATAGATATTACATATTGATTAAGATATAACTATTTTAATCTTTTTAAAATTTAATACTCAGAAATTTAAATCAATAAAAAATCACATGATTAATCAATATCATATGATATAAAATTTAAGGTTATATTTTTTTAGGGTAATAAAATTATACCTTAAATTTTGGTTCATCTTCAAAAATAATTACCTATATAAAAAAATTATAAAAGGCTTATTATATTTAATAAATGTTATTAAAATTGATTTGTTTTTGTATTATATAAATGTTATTAAAATTGGTTTGTTTTTGCATAATATAAAATTATTTTTAAGAATTTTTAAAATTTCAAAAACTTTTTTTTTAATATAAAATTTATGTTTTTTAATAAAATTCAATTAAATTTTAAGTTAAGTTAATTATTAAATAATTTTTTGTACTAAATAATAAAAAATAATAATTATATTATTTTTATTATAACTTTTATTTAACAAATTTATATATTGAAATAATTTTAATAATTTTTATTATTTCTATTTTGTAATGTGAACTAAAATTAATTATTTAAAAAAATTTTTTAATATTATATTTTTTAAATATTTTGGTAAACTTATTTTTTATATTCTTAAATATATTAATATAGATTTTTATCTTTTTTTTTTACTGTTAAATGAGGTATTTCTCATAATCTTTATTAATAGAGTAAAATTTATTACATGATTAATATTAAGATATTAAGATACATTGCTATATATGTCAGTCTACCATCATATTAGATATATTTCTGATAAAAAATCATTGAGCAAGGAAAAAGAAAGTAACTATCTAATTTTGAAGAGCTAATACCTCCTTAATAATTTATTCTGTCCTAAAAGGGCATGGATAAATTTTAAGAAAAAATTTTGAATATTATATTGGTAAGTTCAGTTTTTGTTAAATTGATTTGTTGTTGTTTGTTGGATTAATAGTTGGGTTTTGTTAATGTTATAAGTTGTTGTTGTTGTTGTTGTTTTTCCTATATTTGGTGTTTTGTGTAATGTTAAAAAATTTTTCCTCCTCAATTATATCTTTGTTTTTTGGAATCCATATGTATTGATAGATGAGTTTGAAAGTTTCGGTTTGAATTTGATTTAGAGTTTTTAAATTCTGTTGATTTGGTTTCAAATTGTTGAAAAGATTTTTAAATTGAAGTGTACTTATTGCAAAGTTGTTTAAATAGATTGCAGAGTTGATAGTTGATAGGATTTGGTCAGAGTTGAAGTTTATGTTATTTTTGAATTTTTTGTTAAGAAGTATTTGAGTATTATTTAAAAATTTTTTTGATTGTTAATAGAGCTTAATTGCACAGCCAAAGATGGTAAATGGTTTTTGTGTAGATATTATAGTAGAAACAGGTATCATTTGTGTATATATTTGGCAAGGTGATGTGGAGATAGGATTTGGTTGAAGGTATATTGGAGAGTATTTTGTGATAAAAATTATATATTTTGGATTGGTTTTATATAGTTGGAATAGATATATTTTTTAAAATCAGAGTGTTAAGAAATAGTGAAAAGTCTGATTTAAAGGTTTGTTATGCTCTTTGAGAGAATATTATTTCTGTGGAGCGAATAGTTTTGTTTATTTGTTTAAGATATTGTCTTATTGGTAGAATGGATATGTCATTTGAATTTTTGAGAATTTATGATATTGGAAGTAAATTGATTATGTTTATTTATGGAATTTGGATGTTGATTAATTGAGTTTTAAATATAGATAAGATAGGTTTGTAAAAGATATGAGAAATCTAAAGGGTTTGAAAAATATTGCGAATGTTTTAGATTGTGTTGAAATATAGAATTTTGTATTTTTTTCTATAATTAGTAGGAGATGAAGCAAAAATGTTATTTTTTAATTTTGGATGTTTTGAAAAGAAGATATAGTTTTTGGAATTGTTAGAGGAAAGAATGATTATTATTATATATAACAGAGAGAGAAGAGAGTTATAGTTGAATTTGATTACAAAAGACTTATAATATTGAATGAAATTCCAGGTGATTATTATTATGTTGAATTTATATTTGTATGTTAGAAGAATTTCAAGTGGAAGATCATCATATTTAGGAAGAGAATTAATTATTAGTTGTAATATTATTGAGATGTGTTTTTGGATTAGTGATTTGTGAAGGTCTGATCAATTATTATTTAAGAGTTATTAAGAGATAGGTCTGTGTGAAGTAAGTTGAAAAGTCATTTTTTGTTGCTTTTAATTTGATTGTGTTATCAGGTTATTTTTTGATGAATAAGTTTAGTGAGTTTAGAGATATTAGAAGTTGGCATTCATGGAAGTTTGCGTGAATATTGTAGAGACATTCTTGGCATTTAGAGAGTATTATTAATTTGTTAGGATTGTGATTGTTATAGGACTAATAGTTGATAAGAAGATTGTTTGCATTTGTTTTTTATTTTTTTTCTATTATTATTTCATTATTTATAAAAGTTGCAATTTATTTTCTTTTTTTGTTTAATTAGATTAGATTTGTACCAGTTTGTTAATATTGTTGTTGTAATAGTAATTTATACCAGAGAGGTATTTTGCCATGGATGTTAAATCCAAATCTGGTGGAAATATGTTGCCAGTTTATTAAGTTGTTGTTGTTATATATAAGTAGTTGTTCAATGTAGAAAATGTTTTTCTTTAAGAGTTGATTTGCAAATGTTGACCAATTTTTATAGTGTAATAGAAGTTGATAGAAAGATGCATTTCCTCTTGAAATTTTGTGATGGCAGTTTGGTTTGGAGCAGAATATAATATTGTAGTGTTTGATGAGATATATTGAATATGTTGTTATGTTATGTTTGATAGCTTGATAGTTTTGAAAGATACAAAGAGATTGGCAGTTTTGTATTTGTATTGCATTGATTTCTGATTTTTTATTTGACTTGGTAGTGGGGTTTGATAGTGCATATTGGAGATTGAAGATTAGAACTTCTAATTGTAGATCTGATATAAACTTGATATTGAAAATGTATGGATTGTAGAATCATAATTGTGAAAGTATTTTTTCAATATTAAATTTGTGCTTGATTATTGAGTTGATTTTTCTTTGTGCTTTGTTTAGCATGTTTGGTGTAAGGAAGGTTGCTTGTAATTTGTATTTTATTTGTGGGATAAGTACTTTGTTGTAGATCTATGCTGCCATGTGACCTGTTGTAAATTTTGAGTTAAAGAATTGGATGATTGATTTAGTATCTTCAAGAATTTTATTACAGTTGGATATGAAAATGCTGTATTCAGAAAGCCAGATATCTAGAATTCTGATTGATTTTTTTTTTTGGAGGCTGGGGAGATTAAAGTTGTTTCTTGAGATTTTTTTTGTCTGATATTTTACTATATAGTATAATTAGTTTGATTTCAGTAGGGTTGGCTTTGATGTCATTAAGTTTGAAGAATCCTGTTACTACAGATGGTGAACAAAATATTGTAGATACCTAAAAAAAGTTTTTTTAAAAAAATTGTACTTAATAATTTTTTTTTTTAATAAATTTTAAATATATAGTTAAAACAATATATTTATTTAATATCAATATTTTGTTGGTCCTTCTTTAGCCACAATGCAAGCTGCAATTCGTCATGGCATACTTGTGATCAACCATTGATACATCAGTAAAGATATGTTATTCCAATATTTTTGAACAATCTGATTCAAATCAGAAAGACTTGCCAGTTTAAAAACCTGTTGTTTAACAATATGCCATAGGTTCTCAATTGGATTAAGGTCTGGACTTTGAGGTGGCCAGTCCATAATCCAAATTTTATTAGAGTTAAGAAACACTGTAGTAATCTTTGTGGTGTGTGGAGTTGTATTGTTATGCTGAAAAATAGGACGGCTGCTGTGAGACCAGTTAGGGATAGTATCAATTTCCGGTAAGAGATGTTCTTTAAGTGTGTCAACATAGGATGCTGCTGTAAAAGAAATAGAAAAAAAAATTTAGATTTTATTATTCGCTTTTTCACTTTCATTTTCATTTTCATTTTTATTTTTATTTCCTGTTTCATTTTTTTTTCTGCCCTTTTTTTTTATAACCATAAATTATGGCTTTTTTTTGTGCATCAGTTAGATCTTTTTTAGTATCCATATAAAAATAAAAAAGCAGTTATTACGAAAAAACCAGGAAAAAGAAAAACATCAATAAAATTTTTTTACAATAATAAATTTATTTATTTATAATTTTTTTTTATTATTTAACATGTAATAAATATACTATAAAAATTTTAATTGATCTTATTAAGTCTAATTTTTTTTAAAAAAATTTTTTAAGTGTCCACAATATTTTGTTTACCATTTGTATGTTTAAATTGAATTTTTGAGTTTGCAAGCAGATTAAAATTGTCAATATATGCAATAGTATTGTGTTTAAGTTGTGATAGTTGTTGGGTTAGAGCAGTAATTTGGAGGTCATAAAAGATTATCCATCAGAGAGATGAAAGTGTTTTTCCTTGATCAATTCCATTGGGAATAATAATTTGTTATGTAAGGCCTGAGTCTGTAATTATTTGATATGTGTGGTTTATAAGGATATTATTGGTTAGAGAAATGAAGGAGTTTGATATTTAAAGACATTGTATTAATCCTTTGAATATATCCAAGTTTACTGAGTCAAAGGCTGTACTGATATCAAGAGAGAGAATCCATAATTCTTTTTGTATAAGTTTGTAGAGGTTATAGGTTGAATTGAAAATTTGAATTGGTTCAAAAGTGCTTTAATTAGAAAGACCTAGAAAGTTTGCTTTTTAAGAATGTTGTGGGTCATTAGAATGTGGCTGAATCTTTTTGTTAAAATTTTGATAAGTATTTTTCTGAAGGAGTCGACTAATGTTATGGTCACATTTTCTAAATATTGTATTTCCATTGTAATTTTTTACTGATTAGGAAGATATGGTAATTTTTTTTGGTCTGTTGGAATTTTCTACATAGATAGTATTTGATTAAAGATTGTATGGAAATAAGGAGTAAGTATTTTTTGAG